GTAAATGCATATTCATCTAACTATGTACATTTACAAATATTAATATATTAAATATACTTTGATTTTATGAACTACTTATTAAATTATATCATTTAAATTTCTAATATTATATATAAATAATATAAAATTTTTATAATATATCTATTAACCATTATAAAGTTAACCATTTTTATTATTTTCCTTATTCTGTTGATGTACTGACTCTAATATGCATTCGAAACGAATAATTGAGAATCCGGAAAAAACATATATATGTGACTCACCATTAGATGTGATGAATTTGCTATTGATACTGCTATTGATATTCCATGAAAATTATTGCACAACCATTATGAATTAAGAAGCGAGAACTACTAAAAAATGGAATATCACAATTTAAAATAAATTATATATATATTTGAAACGAATAATTAAAAAAAAAAAAAATAAAAGACTAATAACGCGTTTGTTAAACTATAATTAAAACAAACATATAATCTAAATTCGTGAATATAGTTATTCTATTTAATTAGAGCTATTATACTGTAAAATATACTATATAAATTATTTGAAGTACTATTACAAAGCAAAGACTCAATCTACCAATCTAAAATCTACGCATTGCGCGCGATTAAATTTTCTGAAAGAAAAGTTGCATTAGCAGAAAAGGGGGTTAATAAAAAAATAAAATATTTTTTTATAATTTTTTTTCTTCTATCAAACATTTATTAAAGAAAATTTCTATTTTTATAGACCTATGAATTAGAATTAGATGCTGCAAGAATAAATTTAATTTATTTAGAATAAAAAATATAACCTAATATATCTAAAATAATAATATAATTTGTTTAATTTTTTTAAATTATCTAATCTCTTCTTTTACTGTAGTATTTTTAATAATTAATATATTGAATTTACTATTATATATACTAACTTCTTTTTATTATATATTAACAAGTAATAAAAAAAAACATACTGATTTTTAATATAAAAAATAAAATGTTATTAATTATTTAATTATTATTAAAATGCGGATATTAATGTTAAAATTCCTTTTCCCTATTTTGTAGATTATCTCAATATTCAAATATTAATTTGCATTAAAAAAATCAAATTTTTAATATAAATATATATAATATACGAAATTAGAATCCTATTGAAACAATGCAATATTAATTTCATTTTAAAAACCGATATCTTTGCTAATAACTAACAGTAAAATAGGTTACAAAGAAAATTCAATAAATTGTTTCGCAAAAATAATATTAATTATAATAAATCAATAAATAATTCCATAAATGTAATAAATAAATAATAGTAAAGAAAAATAAACAATAAGAAAACAATAATTACAAAAATTATATATAATATAATAAATTAGTCACATACCTGAAAGCGAAACGAAGCCACCAAACAGCACGACATTCGACAGCAAAATAGCAGCTCGTGGCACGATTTCGTTTATCGAATTGGATTAAGGAGACTATATGCTCGAAGTTTGACAACAATTCGAAACATTGAACGTAATAAGAAACCACTCATTTCCTGGAAAGGTAATAAATATTTTTCGCTTTCAACAAACATAGCAAAACAAAAATAATACAGCATCAATTTCTAGGAAAGCACAATTATAAGAAACGTTCCTAACTCGAGCCAATATGAAAACAAAAACAATACGCATGAATAGACATGTCTAAAAAATATTTGTACGAATGAAATATGAAAATGATTTATTATAATTATTTCTATTTCCATTCGAATAAGAAAGAAATTTATAATTATTTTATATATATTTTATATATATTTTTTATTAAAACCTTACCACATTTATATGAAGGCGAAGTATTCATAACCTATTGCATCTTCCACGCTATTCCAATAATCAAGCAATCTGCACAATTAAAAATTGTTTTAGAACAATAAAACAATTATAATATAATAAAATTAAAATAATATTAAAATAATGTGATAAAATATAACATTCAAATCTAATTATAAATGTTTATAATATGAACAATCGATTATTGAAATTATCAAATATGTTAGCAATGACCAATGACTAAAAAACGTTTAAAAGACAATTTAATTTTGATATAATATTTCACAAATGCTTAAATACACTAATTAAAAAAAAGCACTAATAATATAAAAATTATACTACACCAAATTCACGTAATTAAATATGATAAAATGACGCGCAATTCTCCTATGATTCTCTTGGCAGTAGACTGACGCCATGACGCAACTGATTCCCTTACCACTAGATCTTACAAGCTTCCTGATTGGCTGGAGTGATCTATCTAATTTACTTCAGCTGTGTTGAAAATGTATGAAAATTTGAGTAAATAATACATCTCAATTGTAAATTTATATAATTTTTATAATAAAACGACAATTAAAAATATGATAATCAAATACATATTAATTAAATAAGAGTATTAATAGTACACAAATTATACTACAATATCAAATACCACAAAATTATATATCTATAACAAGACGACACCTATTTTTCCTACGATTCCTGACAGCAGGCTTCAGGCCACTAATTTTTCTTACCATTAAATACTAGAAGCTTTCTGATTGGCTAGAATAACTTAGCCTATTCAAATCGACTGCCTAAAAATTATACAATTTATTTCTAAATTTTTATAACTCTCACAATGATCCACCGATTAAAAATATAATAATAATATGCGTGTTAATTAAACAAGAGTATTATTAGTACACAAATTATACTACAATATGAAATTTCACAAAATTATATATCTACAATGAGACGACACGTACTTTCTCTACGATTCCTGACAGTAGACTGACGTCACGCAATTAATTTTTCTTACCGTTAAATACTAGAAGCTCTCTGATTGGCTAGAATCACCTACCTATTCAAATCGACTACCTAAAAATTATACAATTTATTTCTAAATTTTTATAACTCTCACAATGATTCATCGATTAAAAATATAATAATAATACGCATGTTAATTAAACAAGAGTATTATTAGTACATAAATTATACTACAATATCAAAATATCATAAAATTATATACCTATAATGAGACGACACGTACTTTTCTTGCGATTTCTGACAGTGGACTCATGCTATGCAATTAATTTAAAATCAAGCTTCCTGATTGGCTAGAATAACCTATCCTATTCAAATCGACTATCTAAAAATTATACAATTTATTTCTAAATTTTTATAACTCTCACAATGATCCACCGATTAAAAATATAATAATAACACGCATGTTAATTAAATAAAAGTATTATTAGTACACAAATTATACTACAATATCAAATTCCACAAAATTATATACCTATAACGAGACGATACGTACTTTTCTTGCGATTCCTGACAGTAGACTGACGTCACGCAATTAATTTTTCTTACCATTAAATACTAGAAGCTCTCTGATTGGCTAGAATCATCTACCCTATTCAAATCGACTGCCTAAAAATTATACAATTTATTTCTAAATTTTTGTAACTCTCACAATGATCCAACAATTAAAAATATAATAACAACACGCGTTTTAATTAAACAAGAGTATTATTAGTACATAAATTATATTACAATATCAAATTCCACAAAATTATATAATGAGACGACACGTACTTTTTTTGCGATTCCTAAGTAGACTCATGCTATGCAATTAATTTGTCTAACCATTAAATTCTACAAGCTTTCTGATTGGCTAGAATAACCTATCCTATTCAAATCGACTATCTAAAAATTATACAATTTATTTCTAAATTTTTATAATTCTCAGAATGATTTACCGATTAAAAATATAATAATAACACGCATATTAATTAAACAAGAATATTATTAATACGCAAATTATACTATAATATCAAATTCATAAAATTAAATATATAAATATCTATAATGAAACGATACGTACTTTTCCTTCGATTCTTGACAGTAGATTCACGCTGTGCAATTAATTTATTTAATTATTAAATTTTAGAAGCTTCCTGATTTGCTAGAATAACCTATCCTATTCAAATCGACTGCCTAAAAATTATACAATTTTTTTTCTAAATTTTTATAACTCTCACAATGATCGACTGATTAAAAATATAATAATAACACGCGTGTTAATTAAGCAAAAGTATTATTAGTATGCAAATTATATTATAATATCAAATTCACAAAACTATATATCTATAATGAAATGACACGTACTCTCTTTATGATTTCTGACAGTAGACTGACGTTACGTAATTGATTTGTCTACCACTAAAGTCAAGAAGCTTTCTGATTGGTTGGAATGGCCTGTCTTATTTATTGCAATTGTATAAAAATAATACAATTTATTTGTAGATTTCTTTAAATCCTATAATGATATACCGATTAATAATAACTGTATTATTTTTATGCAATTGAAATAAATAAGTATAAAATCTGTATTATTTTCAAGCAATTGACATAAATAAGATTAGCCATTCCAGCCAATCAGAAAGCTTCTTGACTTTAGTGGTAGAAAATTCAGTTACGTAACGTTAGTCTAGTGTCACGAATCATAGAGGAGGTGCGTGTTGTATCATTAAACATATATAATTTTATGAAATTTGATATTGTAGTATAATTTGCATATTAATAATACTCTTGTTTAATTAACAATTTATTATTATTATATTTTTAATGTGGATCATTGTAAAAGTTATAAAAATGTAGAAATAAATTGTATAATTTTTAGGTAGTCGATTTGAACAGGTTAAGTGATTCTAGCCAATCAGGAAGCTTCTAGTATTTAATGGTAAGAAAAATTAATTGTATAGCGTGAGTCTACTGTCAGGAATCGAAGGAAAAATGTGTCGTCTCATAATAGATATATAATTTTGTGGAATTTGATATTGTAGTATAATTTTTATGCTATTAGTATTTTTATTTAATTATCACGTGTTTAATTATTATATTTTTAATCGATCATTGTAAGAGTTATAAAAATTTTGAAATAAAATGTATTATTTTTACATGATTGAAATAAATAAAAAATTGGTGATTCTAGGTAATCAGAAAGCTTTTATTGAGTTATTAGACAAATCAGTCATAACATCAGTCTGATGTCAAATATAAAAAAAGTATGTAATATTATAAATATATTATTATATGGAATTTGATATTGTAGTTTAACTTTTGTACTATTAATACTTTTTTTTACTTCATAAGTTTTTAATTACTATATTTTTAATAATTCAACATTTTGATTTTCAGAATACATTCCTTAAGGATTGAACTTAATTATGGTAAGGATCAAACAATATTATCATATTATCATATTATCAATATTATCATAATAATGATCAAAATTTTGACTTCTTCCTAATTAATGTACTTTATAACTTCATCACAGAAGTATCCCTTACAACATTAATTCCAAAGAGGTTACTGGAATGAAGAGATCGAGGAGAATGAAGAACCGATAGCACTCGTTCTGTGCAGAAGGCCACAGCCACTCAATTTTGGGGTTAATACCTTTGCTAGCATTCGTATTGCAGCATTTCATCCCTTCTGCACGCCTACGTATTCCCACTCTCATACCACTGATTTACAGCCCTGGCATCGATATATATTCCCCCTCCCTTTGATTTCGCTCGACGTGCACGAACGAGAGCGAATCACGTTTCACAAATACGCGCGCCACGACCCGTTTCGATTTTAGCTTGATGCTCGCGCGCACGACGAAAGGGCTCTTAGGGGGTGGATCGACGTGGGATGGCAAATTAGAGAGCACACGCGGGACCAGGCCGACTCGAGAAATGTTGTAATGAACGAAACAAGTTTTATTCGGTTTTCCTTGTTCCCCTGTTTACTTTGTTTCGTCCGCGAGCCGGTGTCATCGACGTGCGCTTCACTGCAAAACGTGTCCTCCGAATCCACGGATGACACAATTTCGTTGGATTCTTTTGAAAATTGTTTGTAGATTTTTTTTTTATGGAACTATCGCGTGATGCGTGTGTACGTGCAATGAATTTATATACATTGAATGTATATTGAATGTATATAAATTTTAAGAAAAATTCAATAAATTTGTATCTAAAGAACTTAGATATACAACTTTTTCACAATTAATTATATATATATTATAATGTAAAAAATTTTTATTGAGCCTTCTCAATAATTAATAATTATCTCAAGTTATTTAAATAGTTAAATTTGAACAGTATGCTTCAATTCTGAAAAATACTTCATGAAACGTTGTTAAATTTAAAAATTAATGGCATTGCAAGTTGTTTCGAGATTTCTTTGCATAAACAACAGGATTACTTCGATGAGAATCTTGAAATATTTATTCGAGTTGTTCGTAATAGAGTTGCATATTTCTAGAAGCAAAGTTCTTGTATGATATTACACGCCTCTACATAAAAAGAAGGCGGTACGATTTCATATATTTCTTCTAAATGGCAAACAATCTTCGTATCTATACTTTTCTGCATAAAGTCCATGTATGCATCTGTTAAATATACCAGTTTGCAAGCATTCTAGATCTATACATATGTATCTACAATTTAATTGCGTTTAATATTTCATAATATCAATTTCAAATTTTAAAAAATTATATGTATTTTCGAATATTTATACATATAAAAAATTTAAAAGTATAAGAAAGTATATGCAAAAATATATAAAATATTTTTAATATTCATTATAATAATTATTATATGAAATAGTACTTTATTTATTAAATATTTTTTTATTTCTCAAGCAAAGATTGTAAAATTTCCAAATTCTAAGATTGTCTTCCATTTTGTAACTTCTTTCTCGAATAGATTAATAATCAACTTTCAAATATTAATATCAATTTCAATCATTGTATTTACAAAAATAATTTTATTCCTATCAATACTCATTGAAAAGAATAGATTTCAAGATTGAAAAAAATTCATATAAATATGAAAAATCATGTAGATGTCTTGAATAAATTCGTGAACAGGTGGATTTGACGAACTTAACGGAACACTATGTAGACAAGAATAGGTTCGCAAGCAAGGAGGAAGGATACGTAGCCATCTAAGCGAAAAATTGTGCTTTCAGACAGTCATAAATGTGTCAGTTCGTCTCTCTGTCGGCTATATAATGTCAGATTAATGTGTATCGCGAAAGAAAGGAAGGAAGGCATGCTTCGGTCCCCAGGTGCATTTTCTAGAACGGTACATTTTCGAGCCGATCGTAAGATGATAATAATTCACTGGAAACGATTCCCTTTCGCGTAGATCCTATCGAAAATATATATACTATTATATTTTTGACCAAAGAGATTGTTTGTAAAGAATATCGTTGAAATTTTAAATCAAATCCTGAATGTTTATTCTGTTTCGCGTGAATTTATATATGATATTATTTCAGAAAACATATAACGTTATCATTATTTGTAATTTATAATTAAGTATAATCAATATTTGTTGAAAGGGCATGTAATATCATACAAGAACCTTGTTGTTAGCGAATGATAAATGATAATGACGATAATGTATATAGCGAAATGGCAAACAAAAATATAGAAAATACTGTGAGAAATAAATATAATTTGATGAAATGTTTGAATGATTGAAAGTAGAAGTTCGCTAACGAACGAAGAATTTATTTAATTTTACGAATGTTGATTCACTTCAAGCGAACATATATTTTATAATAAATATATCCTACAAATGGATGTATTCTTTATGAAGCTTACACATATGCATACAATTTAGTGACAAAATGAAATATCTTATTTTTTTATAGTATAATATGATAATTTCGAATTATAAATCTACAAACTATTGTATATAAGTATTTAACACTGCAGAAAATTCTAGTTTCAAGAGTTTATTCAATATATAAGAATCTCATTAAAGAAATAAACTAAAAAATTCAAAAGCATCGCAAGAAGGATTTATCGTTACTCTATACTCAAAATCTGTATTCATAAGCCATAAAACGTGTCTAATATTGAATCATAAAATTATATTTATTTTGAGTATCACAACTAGTAAGCAGTGTACAATTTCAGCGTGTGGCTAAAATCAGAAGACAGGGTTTCGTTATAAAGTTGATAATAAATGTATATTATTCAGATTAATCGTTATTCTAGGATTTTATGTTACGAAATATACCTCATAGACGTGCAGCTTTAATCTGATACTAAACGACACTAGTTTAAGATCTAATTCTGAGAGCTAACATTGAAAGTCGTGAAGAGCTAAATCGAATTTTTCGCGATTTCAGGAACAAAATCTCATTAGCGAGAAGATAGACGATTTCTCTGTATTTCTATGGCATAGAAGGAAGAAGTACAATTGAATAAAAGCAATTACGATTTTTTTTCACATTTTTATTCTTCATCTTTTTCTTTTTAAGATCTCGATTAATTAATCGGATAATCAAAAAAACATATTATCATACTATCAATATTCTAAGATTTTATAGAAAATTCTTTTGTATAACATTCAAATTTTGTTTATTTTGATAAGACTTTTAAAATTTAAGAAAATCTTTAATTCGAAGTTGTAATTTTTTTTAGTAGAAATTCGAAAAATTAATATTTCTGTTATATTTATCGATCTTTTTACTTAAAATTGCATCTTTGTCGCATAATGATTGCACCACTCAACAAATATTTTTTCAACGAATTTCGCTATAAATTTATTTATCTATAATTCTCAACTAATAAAACGAGATAGAAATAAACAAATTATTCACCGATTCGTAAAAATTCCCGAGGACGTAAAAATGAATTAAACACGTAATTATATCCCGTTTATTTCGTCTTTCTACCAATTACAACACCTTTCATTTCTTTTTCCACCTCCATTCAAACTCATTACAATTCCTTCCAATTCAGTGATCATTTCAATTTACAGATCCGCAAGTTTGTTCATTAAAATTTGTACATTCGTAGGGAAGAATTTCTTTTCAGCTCACTCGACAAATCCAACAACAAAAGGGGGCCGCGTGTATTTCCCTTGCAGACAGTAGTTGCAAAATTTTGTTCATTATTAAATCGCGAAAAGCTTTTTCTTCGCCTGTAATTATAGCAATAGATGGAGTAACAATGCAAAATCAATTAACGGGGATGAGTGGCTCGAGCAATGGTCGGAATGAAAGATCTTTCATCATCGGGTTTCGTTTGTTTCTTTTTTTCTTTTTTTTTTTTTTTTTTTTGTTGCTACGAAACGCGTTCCGCGTCTTCTTTCTTGCTACGCGGACGCGAAACACAAGCAAAATATTATGCAAGCGATATAACTCTAACGAGGCGACTCGTTTGCACGAGTAGTCGCACCTCGAACAATAAACCGAAACATTATTCAATGTAATTACGTCAGTTATGAAAGGTTCGTTATGCAATAACTGCAAATCAACTTGTAAAATCACGTGACACGAAAAGAACGAGCTTCGCGTGAACGAGTTGGAGAGTTCTAACAAAAGTGTTTTTAGTGTTCGAAAAAAATTGAAAAAATGCATTGAATCGTGTAATGAATTGGAATTGTTAAGAAATTTTTTAATCGAGGATTTATTAAGGCTCGAATTTTTTGATATCGACCCTTGATAAAACGAATAGAATTAAATGATATAGAATTTCGAGCAAAGGACTTAAGATATCATTATTATATCATTACAAGTAAATTAGAAAAACTTTGAGTCACTACGATTCCGAAAATAGTAACTTCCACGAATTAACGATCGCGCAAAGTCTTGTTTTTTAAAAACGTTTATCTCGATACGATTTCCGGTTCCCGAGATGTTATCGTGTAAAGAAAAGGATAATTTTTAGCCATTTATTATTTCGATCCTTGTCGCTTATTCTCGCTCGTACCTGACCTATCCTAAATTGCAGACAAATGACACAATTCTTAGAAGAATGTAATATATATTTCCAGGAAAAAAATATAAGTCACTAGGCCGCAAATTCATTCATAATTTGCGCTAACAATAAACGCATTGTAGAAACTTTGAATCCTTGTATCTCGGCAATCAATTGAGATATTAGGATGAAACAAAAAGCAATTTCAACAACTATGCTTTTTCTCTATTTTCTGAGTGAGAGTATTGATAAAAAAAAATTCTTTTATCTTTGATCACGTTTCTCTATACGAAAAGATTTCTTTTTTAATTTTTCGATTCGAATGATTGTCACGATTTCAATAATTGTCACATAAAGTTCACATTTATTCAACTTTTTACGTTTTTATATTTATGTAGAAGTAGGAATAATAATTATCTTTCGCGAATAAAGAATCAAAGCCCGATCTTAGTCGATCATTAGCATGTGCATCGCCATGGCGAAATTTCACGCACGTCCGATGACCAGCCATTTTCACACGGGTTGAAAAACGGGATCCTCGTAATCTGGCTGTGAAACAAGCGGCTAAGCGCGATAACATTCTCGAGGAACGTTCCTTCTCGTAATCTCTTGCGACTAAGTAATGGATGCCGGCCTGATAAAGTCTCTCACTTGCACCAGCTACGACTAACCAGCGACCGCATCACCTC